ACACTAGTGTTCTTTAACCTAGCACAAGTAGGATCTTTACCTAACCAAACCGGACCTCCCAGTCAGTGGGTGGAGCCAACAGTGAGATGAGTTTGTATGGGAAGCTCCACCGAGAAATTCTCTGATTTTGAATGAGTTCATTCTTCTCTGAGTTACAGTCCCTACAGTTTTCCATTTTTACTGTGATGACATAAAAACTAACCTCATTTACTTTTGATTTTCGGTAAGGGACCTGGGATGGTCACACCACACATCTGGAGGCTCACTGGCTACATTTACCAGCCTTGCTCTTGTCCTTCCTGCCAGGGAAACCTGACCATAGTGTTCTTGCAAAAGGTAGTTTCATAGTCCAGTGCAGTAAGTACTGAGTGGAGGAATGACCTGTCCCTCTGCTCCTCCATCCAGGTCCAGGCTGCACTGACCTCCTGGGTTGTGTCTCCCTCGGGATGTGGATCACTTCTGCTTCAACCCCCCATCCTCCACCCCCCCCCCCGCTTTAGTATTGTCTATGAACACTGGCTATGATGATTAGTTCCCATTACTGTCTACAACCATACCAGCCCTAAGGTACACAATCTCCTCTGATTGTCAATTTGACAGTGTCTAGATCATCTGGGGGACAATGCTCTGGGCTCACTTAGGAGGGAGTTTCTAGATTGAGATACCTAAGGTGAAAGAATCTATTAAACATCAGCAGAGTCGTTCCAGGAGATGGACCTTGGCTTAATGAGGAGCATCTCCCAGCTGCCTGGAGTGTGACTCCCACCCCTCCCTGCTGCCATCATGCCTCCTTCCCAGTGGCCATGATGCGGTGTATTCTAACTATGACCCAGAATAAACTTCCTCACTGAAGTTGCTTCCGTCAGGCATTTAGTCACAGCTAAATTTGTGCTCCACTATGAGTTTTTTAAAGTATTATATTTATATGATGTATAAAGTTTGTAGCAAAAGTGAAGACGAGGAGAGAGGAATCCTCTAAAATATACCAGAGACCTGGAAGGTGAGAAACTCTCAGGACTCAAAGGGAGGGACCTTAGATGAAATGTCCAACAGTGAGGAAAGGGAACTTGTAGAGTCTACATCCAGTAGAAAGACAGGACATCAAGTGGAGGGATGAGGTTGCCATCCCACAGTCAAAAACTCTGACCCAGAACTGTTCCTGTCTAAAAGGACTGCAGGGACAAAAATGGAGAAGATACTGAGGGAAAGGAGGTCCAGTGACCAGCCCAACTTGGGATGTATCTCAAGGGAAGGTGCCAAGGCCTGACACTATTACTGATGCTATGATGTGCTTACAGACAGGAGCCTAGCATGACTGCCCTCTGAAAGACTCGATAAGCAGATGAAAGAGTCGGATGCAGATACCCAACCAATGGAAGAAGCTACGGATCCTTGTGGTTGAATTAGGGAAAACCTGGAAGAAGTTGAGGAGGAGGGTGACCCTATAGGAAGACCAGCAGTCTCAACTAACCTGGACCCCTGAGATCTCTCAGATATTGAGCTACCAACCAGGCAGCATATACCAGCTGATCTGAGGCCCCTGACACATATACAGCAGAGGACTGCCTGGTCTGGCTTCAGTGGGAGAAGAGGTACCTAACCCTGGAGAGACTTGAGGCCCCAGGGAGTGGGGAGGCCTGGTTGGGTGGGACAGGTTGGGGTGGTTGGGGACATCCTCTTGGAGACAGGGGAGGAGGAATGGGATGAGGAACTGTCAGAAGGCGGACTGAGAGGGGGATAATGACTTAACTGTAAAAATGATTAAAGATAATTAAAAAAAGTCAAGATGTACATTTTTAGCTATTACAGTATGGAGATATATATATGTGTTTCATAGAATAGAATTTTCTCAGCCAATAGTATTCAAAATGAAATGATCCAGGACTTCAGGCATGACAGACAATGTATCTGGAGCTCCCAAGAGCTACTCTTTTTATATATACAAATTACTGGAAATTGTCTCTCTCCTTTGACCATGTGAGTTCTGGGAACTGAACTGAGGTGGTCAGGCCTGGCAGAGATACCTTTCTTTTCCTTTGATGTGTATGTGTGTTTTGCCTGCATGTGTCTGTGCACAATATGTGTGCAATGACCAAAAAAGACCAGAAGAGGGCATTGCATTCCCTAAGACTGCTGTTAGAGATGGTTGTGAGCCACCATAGATCAAATCTGGGCCCCCCAGGAAGAAGCTCTTCTCTGCTGAGCCATATCTCCAGCCCTAGGAATTTGTTCTAAGGTCAATATTAAAACTGATTTTCCATAGAATAAATATCATATCCCCCACCCACTCCCCCAAGGTAGGAGATGCTTGTATTGTAAAGGACTTTAACCAAGCACTGGAACTAATCAGTGGAATTAATACCTCATTGTCAGCAATTCAGTTGATTTACACCATGATTTTTGAATACCAGCCTCTTCAACTATTCAAGGTGATTTTTTTCTTTATGTAAGACTATGATGCATGTTAAATGATCTGAGAATACTAATTTTATAGTAAGTATTCACTTACAGAGACTTTCTAAAGAAGGAAGCAGCATCAAAGGGGAATGAGAAAGAGTAGAAGAAATTAAAGAAACGACCCAGAAAGCATTGTGTCTAAGCAATGGAGGCAGGCGCGAGCGTCAGATATTTCACTGTTTCACAATTTAATTTTCGTTTTAGACATCCCTCTATTCGAGTAGCAACTGCCGCCCATCCACACATGGCTGCCTTTGCGAGTTTAATTAGGTGATAACTGGTTTGTGTTGTCTACTTCTAACTACTTAAAAGGCCAGAGACGTTTTCTTACTGTGACTTTTCTTTATTGGTGCCACTCATCAGTTTTTCTGAAAGAGAAAAAAAGTATTTAGTATTTTTTTTTTCAACAGCTCTATCCTGAACATAAAATTTTAATTGAGGTTAAGGTTTTAAGATAACACATGATTTAACTGTTAAGTTATACAACGGCATCCAACTATTCCAATATTCTTAATATTCAGAACAAGAGCATGGTCAAACATATTCTAAGTAATAAATCATTTACCCTTCGGATCATACAATAGCAATCTGCCATTCTGTCTGCTTTTTGGTGCCTAAAATAGAAGCAGGAATAAAAACTAGAATTATCATTATTATTTTAGTTTGAAGTATTTGGAAAAAATATATTATGAGCCTTTATGTAAACATTTCTATTGTATAATATATACTAAAGCCAATTATTTCTAAGCCTTATAAATGGATGATAAAGCTGACCCAAAGCATTCTAAAAACAAAAATAAAACAAGAACAAAACCTCCAGCAATACACATTTTATTTACTTTTTTTTTTTTTGAGACAAGGCATATTTACTGATTCATGGCTTTGATCTTACTATGTAGCCATGGATGGCCCTGAATGCCTAATTTTTTTGCTTTCCCCTCCCAAGTGTCAGGACTGAGGTAGAGAAACAGCTTAGTCATTACAAGGGTAGGCTCATAAGCCAAAGTGAACAAGGACAAGGATAACAGGCGTGTGCGACCATGCCGGTTTGTGCAGGCTGCGGGTTGACATCATGCTAGGCTGGCACTGTACCAACTGAGCTCCCCCCCAGCTCTGAATCCTTTACCTTTACAACTTCAGTCTTTTCCAGATAGTTGCTGGAAAACAAACAAGATACGTTTACTTCATAAACATCTAAACACTTGGATAAACGTTAAATGCAAATGAAACAAAACCCAGAACTATGAGCAGGCTGTCAAGCATGGGGTAAGAAGTGATGTTATAAAACTTAGAGCAGTGGATTTCAACCCCCAACCGTGACCCTTTGGGGGTCAAACGATCCTTTCACAGGGTTGCAAACAACCACCAGAAAATACAGATATTTAAATTATGATTCTTAACAATAACAAAATTACAGTTGTGAAGTAGCAACAGCGATGATTTCATGGTTGGGGGTGGGGGCTCACCATACCATGAGGAAGTGTATTAAAGGGTTTCAGCTTTAGGTAGGTTCAGAACCACTGCTCTAGAGAAGCCAGCGTTCCTCTCATCTTACCTCGAGTCCATCTAAACAGAGCTGCAGGAATGATTCTGCATGTGGCAGTGGTAAGGTGTTGACCAATCCACTAGTTCTGGTATCTTTTCAGGGCATTATCTTGAATTCTAGGTCTAGACTAGACTAGAGTCAAGAGCAGGCCCTAGGTCACCTTTCCCACTGAGCTGACTCTGGAAACCATGACTTCTTCTCAGCTAACAGACTTCTCTCTCCAGGTTCAACAAACTAAATGTGATAAATACTCTCTGTCACTGTCCAGTTTGCTGGTGCCATCACAGACAACTTTTAGAGGAAATATGAGCCAGAAAATGAGGAAATAAGAGCCTTAAACGTGAGGGCTTCCACGTTTAAGATATGGAATTTTAGTAAAATAGTGTTTAAGTATATAAATGTACAAATTGATCTTTTATTTCATCCAGTGATACATTTAAATTTGTATCTCATAAGTCTTCACATGCATTTACTAATACTTAGAAGTTTAATGTTTTCTCCGAGTTTTTTGTTGCTTTCTAGGCTAACTAGTTAAAGGACTGATTTTCCTCATAATGGCGCCCTTTATATATCTGGATAAGTCATTTAGTTGTATTATTTTTACTTTTGGAAGAGGTCACACTTAATTCTAGCATATGTCAACAATTCACTGGTCCCTCCACTTGGCTCCACATCCCAAGGCAAACTTTTTGTTTCTTTCTGAGAGAGAATCTCACTTTGTAGCTTTGTTTGACCTAGAACTCATGACACAGAGCAAACTGGGTTTGAACTCACAAACTCCACCAGCCTCCCACGGGCTGGGATTACAGATGTGTTCATCATGCCTGGGCCTCAAACCAGACTTTTAAAATGGTTATTACTACCTACCTGGGAATTTCAGGAATACAAAACTCAGGGACAAGACTGTGAACAGCAAAGCAAACAAACATTAATTGGTACTGTTTCCTTTTCAAATGGCTCTTGCTGAGAAATGGTTCTAATGCTTTGTCTTAATTTGGCTTCCAAAAGCCATGCTTCCAGATGCTAAGGGTCCCTGTCCCAAGATGGCTTGACTGGTAATAAAGAATTGCTGTACAGCCAATGGTTGGGCAGGGAGATGGAGGCGTGACTTTATGATTGTATGGGCAAGGGACCAAGGGGGAGAGAGAGGAGAATCCCCATGACTCAGAAGCAGAGAGATCAGATTTAAGAGCTGCAAGAGAGAAACCATCCAGCAATGTAGTGTAAAGGGAAAGCAGCCCTATTCAGGGGTGAGGGTTGCTGTCCAGCAAAGATAAAATGTAGATTTAGACAGTGTTAAGCCAGGAATACTGGAGGGGAGTGTGTGCTAGCCATGGGGAGGTTTGGAAGTGCCCAAACATTAAGCTAGTCAAGGTATATCGAAATTAGCTGGTTTGTGTGTGTATGTGTGTGTCATTCTCAAATCTAGAGCTCTTGGGCCAGTGCAGAGGAAATGTGTGCGCCCCACCAGGAGCCTAAAGTGGATTAACTAAAATAAATCGTGTAAGAAAAAAAAAAACAGGAGATAGCAGAGGAGCAGTATCTAAACAGATAATATTTGTTGAGATTGCTTTAATTGCTTTGAGATGTTTTAATTACCAAAATGAAGATTATAAGTTTGGTGGTATTTATGGTATTAAAAATCCTCTGGGAGAGAGGTCAAGCTATTAAGTTAATTCATTCTATACCTTTAATGATTTCTGGTTACTGGACCAAGGACATGCTATTTTGGGAAAGAGGACCTGTATTTGCGTTGACAGGAAAGGATAAAGAGCTTTGGACCCTTTCCAGAGTGGTATGTATCAGATACGACAGGGGAAGACCTCCTGAAGATCTTGGCTACAGAAAAGAAAATTTTGAGAAAATCAAACAAGACAGGTAACTTGATCTGCTGATTCTTTGAGATAAGAACAGCCCAATAACTGGCTAAGACATAAAAATGTCTCTAGCTAGAACTTCAGCGAAATTTAAACAATAAATCTTGTCGGTTATGGAATCCTTAAGATTCCTTGTGCTCTACTTCATATGGCATGAATAAAGCTTTATTACAATTGGTTATTGATCAAATTAACTCATATAAGGACAGTTGTCTTTCATCTGCTCAAAGAAGGAACAAAATTCATCCTTAACTGATCTGTGTGCCTTGCATAATCCATACAAATGTCTTAATAGTACTAAAATTTCAGTTGTGAGATTCACATATTACAGAATATACAGCTTTGGCAAGATTCATCCTCCGGGATGCTGAAGTGACCTGCTGTTCCAGCCCCCTGCTTCCTGATGCTGTCCGGAGACTGTTTCCAGAACAGCTTCAGGAATTGCTGCTGATTCCACATGGACTTGCTTCATGCAACCTTTTAAAAGGATCCAGTCAGAATTTCAGTCAAGTCCTGAGCCTTCTAAACATACAAAGACTAGATAACAGATGATAAAGTTAGCTTTCTTAAGTCTAACCAAATTTTCTAATTTTCCTATACCTCCCCATCCCTTTGAAGAATTTTTCATCTCCCCTAATCAGCAGAAAGAAGTTGTGGAGAGTTGTCATCCCAATCCCTTGGGCTTGGGTGTCTTGGTTATGGTTATTTTATAAATTATTATAGGTTGTCTTTTTAAGAAATAATTTGGAAATGGTCATAATTTTGAACAGGAAGGAAATTGATGGGATATATTACTAAATTTATTCTTAAAGTATTGTATAGCCACAATTTTACATTGGTAGAAATCTTTATAATTGATACAAATTGAAGCTATAATTTTTATATTGATACAGAATTTATAGGTTAAAACAGATTTAAGGTTTCCATTGGTAGAAATTTCATATATTGATACAAAAATTGGAATTAATATTGTTACTCTTAGATAGGCATTGTGTCTATGCAACTCACTTAAGAATACAAAGCTTAATCCCAGTCCTTCTAATAACTCCTATTACAAACTGTTTAGGATGATTAAGTAATGCAAGTTAAGGGCCAGATGATAAAGTCATAGTTATATTAGAATCTGATCTAATTATATTAAGATGCTTTCTACAATATTCAAATAGAAATAGCTAAGAATGGTCAAGGTTAACAATTCCGATATACTTTATATAGTCTTTCAAACATCAGAAATCCACAGAATATGACATTTAATATTCATTCATTATTAAGGATCATTTAACTAGAGACATGTCTGCTCCTGACAGTTCTTCCTTCTTGGTTCAAAGAAGAATTTGAGCATTACTACCTCCTTATAGAGTTGCTCCAGTTATGGCAAAATAGCCACTGGACAAAAACTGCCCTATTCATCTACAGACAAAAAATACTGCCCAGGAAAGGACACACAGTGCAGGGGAGTCAACAGTTTAGCTCTGCCAAACAGTGAATTAGTCCTTCACAGTTTCTGCTTCATTTCAAGGTCTGTCAGATGGTTCTGGGCCAGAAGGCTGAAGGCAGATGCTCCGATGTTTTGAGGACTAGGGGACTGTCCAGGTACTCAGCTGTCCCTATAATTTGTTTAAGTTTTTGAAGCTATGTTTTTGTGCTTCCTACATATTCATGTTAGGATGAGGCATGTCAAGTGGATGTTTCCTCACAAATGTTAAAAGCTGGACTGAGGACAGTCTGGGTCTCCATCAAGATCTGAGCCCTGGTTTGCATTTGATCCTTACTTGGACTGTACAGCCAGACATACCAGTCTCTTCCCATTTCAGTGAGGAAAGAAAAATTAGGACAGCCAGAACTGTAATATATAGTCTGTCCCCAAATCTTTGAGCAGACCTAGTTGCCCAACTACAAAGGTCATGGTACCGTTCCCAAGCAGACCCACTGTGCTGGCTAGTTTTATGTCAACTGGACATGACCTAGAATCATCTGAGAGGAGGGAATCTCAACTGAGAAAATGCCTCCATAAGATCTGGCTGTAGACAAGCATGTTGGGTATTTTCTTAATTAGTGATTGATGGGGAGGGCCTAGCCCATTGTGGTGGTGCCAGTCTCGGGCTGGTGGTCCTCGGTGTTATAAAAAAGCAGGGTGAGCAAGCCGTGAGGAACAAGCCAGTAAGCAGCACCCTCCCATGGGCTCTGCATCAGCTCCTGCTTCCAGGTTCCTGCTCCATTTGAGTTCCAGTACTGATTAACCTCAGTGATGGAGTATAATATGGGAGTGTAGTAAACCCTTTTCCTCTCCAAATTGCTGTGGACATTGTCTTAGTTAGGGTTTTACTGCTGTGAACAGACACCATGAGCAAGGCAACTCTTATAAGGACCACATTTAATTGGGGCTGGCTTACAGGATCAGAGGTTCAGTCCATTATCATTAAGGCAGGAACATGTCAGCATCCAGGCAGGCATGGTGCAGGAGGAGCTGAGAGTTCTACATCTTCATCTAAAGGCTGATAGCATAATGCTGACTTCCAATTAGCTAGGATGAGGGTCTTAAAGCCCACACCCACAATGACGCACCTACTCCAATAGGACCACACCTTTGAATAGTGCCACTCCCTGAGCTGAGTATATATAAACCATCACAAGTCATGGTGTTTCATCACAGCAATACTGACTCTAACTGGGACACTCACTGTGAGTTCATAAGCTAACAGTGACAGGCCTACTCATGTGTCTGTGACCCAAGCTTAGCTTGTCACAATCTTTCCCAGAGGCTTTCCAACTAGGACTGTCATAAAGTTAGGATCATGTGAATCAAGAACTCCAGGATGAGAAATAAGGAGAGGAGAGAGGTTGGTGGAGAGGGAAGGAGAGAGAACAAGAAGGAGGAGAAGGGAGAGAGAGAGAGAGGAGAGAGAGAGAAAATAAATACAAATATAAGAGGCACACACATACATCTCTAATGCTGAGTCCCTGACCCACCCCATATCTGGGACCTACCATGGACTAGACAGTTAATTTCTCATTTTTTATTGGAGACAAGTCTGAGTTATGGGGATTTTATTTTTGTTATTTGAAATCAAAAGAAACCTTGACAACTATGGTTCTTTTTTTTTTTTCTCTCATACCTGATATCCTGTGATAAGAGCTTTGATAACAGAACTAGCATAGCCTCTGGGCATGTCAAGTGAGAAGTGTTAAATCTACCTGCAAACTTTGAATACAAGGAAAGAATCCCAACCACAGACTTGTAAAATTATAAGGTTGGATCTTTCCCCATAGGATATTCCGAGTCAAGTTTCGCTGTCAAGGTAACATTTATCCAAATTGGGGCCACAGTCAAGTAGCAATAGCAATTGTCCAGTTCAGGCTAGAGAATGTCTGCAAAGGAAGTTAGAAATGTACGTGGGAATGAAATATTATTGCCATTAATTGCTACATGCTAAAAAACTAGGGCTGTAAGTATCATACAATGCAAACCAAATTCAAGGCTTTGAACAAGACCAGATTAAATTGATCCCAGAAACTTGGTGGAGGGTAAATTTGAGAGAGAACAGAGGCAAGAAGACCAGATAAGAGTTCAGAGAAGGTGCTGTCCTGTTGGTGATTCACTGCCTAAAACTGTAAACAGAATTGAACTGGACTGCATCATCTATGTAGAACAAGAGAAGCCCAAGGATAAAATCATGGTTCATAACATCCAAGAAGCAGATGGGAAGACATACAAATAGGCATATCCCCACTATAGAGACTTGGCTAGGGAATTCAGGAATGACCCCAACCAGAGGAAGGATCTTGAGAAAAGAAACTGGTTCTTAGCGCAGCATAGTGTCAAAATACCTTTAACTGCAGGGGGCCTGAGGCAGGAGGACTGTGAATTCCAGGCCAGTCTGGGCGATACAGCCAAGTTTAAGGCTAGCCTGGACAACTTTGCATCTGTCTGAAACAAAAATTGTCAGTAGTAGGTCATTTGCTTAGCATATGCAAAAGATCCTGTGTTCAGTCTTCAGTACGAGAGAGGAAGAGAGACAGAGTGAGAGAGAAATTGTTTCTTAGGTATAAGTGTGTATCCTACATCAGTTTAAAAGCATCATGTCATCAGGTACTGCCTAGACTGGATCCCAGCACTACCAAACAAACAAACTCCCGTGCATGGTTAGGAATGGTGGTGCATGCCAACAATTCCAGTAGGTTGAGGCAAGAGTATCTTATGAGTGCCAGGCCAACCTGTGCTAAATACTAACAATAAAGGTGGAAGAGGGAGAGAGAGAGAGAGAGAGAGAGAGAGAGAGAGAGAGAGAGAGAGAGAGAAGAAAGGAGGAGGAGGAGGGGGAGGGGAGGGGGAGGAAGAGGAAGAAGAAAGAGGTGGAGGAGGAAGAGGAAGAGGAGGAAGAGAAGCAAGTCAAAATAAAAGAAAAATGGAGGTCTAGAGGTCTTCCATATGAGCTCATCATAGTTTCATTCACTTGTTCTTTCTTTGTTTTCTTACTAGATAGAAGTTTTCTGAAAGAAGGGACTTCATGTATTTGCGTATTTCTAGGGCCTAGTGCACTCCATACCACACGAGCTGATGCTCAGTAGGCATTTGTTGAATGAGAAGAACTGGAACGAAACAGAGGACACCGCATATAAACGAGAGTTCAGCTGTTCAACATGGCAGCCACTAGCCATGTACAGGACTTGAGCCTGTGAACTGTGGTTAACTCAAACTAACAGTAAATATCCCATTTAGAAGACTAGATTTAGAGGACTTAGCACCCAAAACTGATGTAAGATTATCTCACATACACATACACCCTAGGAATATGCCACTAACCAGCAGCCAATGGGGTCACTCAGGTTCCATGTAGACTGCAAAGTCCAAACAGGCTTTTATCAATTGAGTTGCTGACACTGAAGATTCAGATTCCCATATAGTCTTATTTAGGTTTCTCTTCTAATAATGGAAGAGATGGCATTTTTCTTCATTGTATCTATGGAACTATCTTACTCTTTATTCTGTCTGGTTTTATAAGCAAACTTATGCTCTGACTGGCAGAGAATGAATGAATTGGCAGATGGGTGTATGTTCTGTCCTGGCAACTGTGGTGAAGGGGAAGGGGGCAGGGCATAGCACATCCCAGGCACATTTTACTGTACAGCCTCAAATGCATGTAAAATGATTATTCATCACTGTTGAGGTTTACTCTGCTGCTATGTACTGTAATGCTAAGTGTGAGTCTCCGAGACCTGGTTGCCCCAGAGACAAGAAAGTCTGCAAATAAACCCAAGCGACACCATGTGACTTTGTCTCCAAGTTATTTCTGATTGGTGAATAAAGATGCCTACAGCCTATAGCTGGGCAGAAGAGACATAGGTGGTGTTTGATGTTCCCAGCCTGGGGGTTGGGGGAGACCTCGAAGAGAGGGAGAAGAAGAAAGGAAGGAGGAGGAAGACACCATGGGTTAAGAGTCAAAAAAAACATGACCCCGAGGGCTGGCCAATTGGAGTTAAGAACAGCCAGCCCAGATAAAAACACAGTAAATAATAACTTGGGGTTATTGATAAAAAATAAGTTATAATAACATAGAGGGTAGATATCTGTTCAGCCCTAGTGCTGATTAAGGCTTATATAAGGCGGTATATGTGTTTTATCTGAAAACTAAATGGGTAAAGGCAGGATAAAAAAAACCCAGATTAAAATAAAAAATTTGTACAACACATTGGTGTCCAACATGAGGCAAAAACTCACTTTGAAAAAAAGTAAGACTATGGAGACGTGGTTTCTTAACAGAGTTGGTTTTCCCCCACGCCATGTGGGGTTCAGAACTAGGGCTAAAATACATGCGGATTTGGCATACATGATTCTAGGGTTGGCATCCCAGACATACACAGTGCACCCCCAAACCAAACCAATACGCCAAGTGCCTAAACTCCAGCCTGGGGCCTTCCCAAACGCTGCTCTACTCTGCCTTGGAGAGGCAACTTAACTGCACAGCTGCTAGAAGACCCTGTTATGCAGCAAAGCTGACAAAATCCTGCTGCCCAGAGAACAAAAGGCAAGGCTGCATGACTCCACAATCAAACACATTATAAAATGTAAATAAATAAATTAAGATGTTACGCTACCTTAAGCAACTGGCTTCCTTCAGCGTGGCCTCCAGGGGAATACTGGGACTTCTTGTCCTAGCACATGACACATACATGATAGCTTGAGAATGTGCTTATACAGTAAATAGAAGGGAATTTAAATAAAGTTAAATAAAAGAAGGATATTAAATTCATTTATATAAGAGAAAGAGGGTATAAGTATATTTACCCACAGAGGTATTAATCTCCAAAGGGAGAAAGAAATAAAAATGAAAATGTTTTCAAGTATACATAGATAAATAAATAAATCCAGGCCTTTGATCTCAATACTTGGAAGACAAAGGCAAGGACAGATAGGATGTCTTATGAGTCTGAGGACAAAGGAGACAGAGACAGGCAGATCTCTGAGTTCAAGGCCTGTCTGACCTACAGAGTCAATTCCAGGACAAAAAGAAAAACAAAACAAAAAAAAAATTTTATAGTTATAATCTTATATTAACAAAAATCTTTATACTTTAATAAAAAATAAGGTTATATTTTGTTACATTGATACATTTTATATATTAATTCAGGTTTAAGGTATTCATTGATTAAATCTTTGAATATTAATACAAAATTTAAGATTAGTTTTGTTACTCTTAGATAGACATTATCCCTATAAAACTCATTTAAAAATACAAGCTTAATCCCAAAACTTTTAATAACTACTATTACAAATTGTTTAAAATAATTAAATAATACAAGTTAACAGTCAATCAATCAAGCTCATAGTCATATTAGATACTACTCTAAATTATCACAAAAATATACATCCTGGGTTATACATATAATAAGTAGCTAAAAACAACTGTGTTTACTTGTTCAAATAGGCTATAAATAAATGGTCTTCGAAAGTGTCAAAGATCCACAAAATATGATATTTAAAATCATTTCATTGTTAAAAAAATCTTTTGAGTATGCGACAAATTTGCTCCTAAGACTAACTCCATTTCATCTCAAAAAAAAAAAGATAATAAACATCAATAACCTACATAGAAAGTTGCTTCAATTGTGGCAGGCTAACCACTGGACAAAAAAAAAAAAGGACAGATGGACACAAAACAATCAACTACTAAACCCTGCCAAGACAGTGTAGCTAGTCCTTCATAATTCCTGCTTCGCTTAAAATCTGTCAAATGTTCTGAGTCAAAACATCTAAAGACAGATGTTCCAACATTGTAAAATACTGTAGACTGTCTAAGCGATAAGCTATCTCTGTCATTTCTATAATTTTTAAAAGCTGCATCCCTGTACTTCCTGCACACTCAAATAATATTTATTCTTTCTCAATTCTCTGATGAAGTTAAAAACTAAATAACTGTAATCTCACAATGTAAGTTGTTTAAAATAAAAAAATGTTCTAGGTCTAAAAAATGTTTTTAAAATGATAATACAGGTTAAAATAATAAATTATTTACACATAATATTCTAACTCACCAAGATAAAATAAATGATAAAATACTTTAAATTGCCAAATCTAATGGACTGAATGTTATAAATATATATCAGGCATTATAATTTTTATAATCATTATAATTATATTCAATTCATATTTTTAAAAGCCTTTTTAATTAGCAAAACAATTGTTGATGTTTGGTCTGTTGGTATGTATTGTAATGCTAAGTGTGAGTCTCCAAGACCTGGTTGCCCCAGAGACAAGAAAGTCTGCAAATAAACCCAAGCGACACCATGTGACTTTGTCTCCAAGTTATTTCTGATTGGTGAATAAAGATGCCTACAGCCTATAGCTGGGCAGAAGAGACATAGGTGGTGTTTGATGTTCCCGGCCTGGGGGTTGGGGGAGACCATGAAGAGAGGGAGAAGAAGAGCGGAAAGAGGAGGAAGACACCATGGCTTAAGAGTCAAAAAAACATGGCCCCGAGGGTTGGCAAGTTGGAGTTAAGAGCAGCCCAGATAAAAACACAGTAAATAATAACTTGGGGTTATTGATAAAAATAAATTTTAATAACATAGAGGGTAGATTTCTGCCCAGCTCTAGTGCTGATTAGGCTTGTTGTAAATATAAAGGCTGGGTACGTGTTTTGTCTGAAAACTAAAGGGTTAAAGGCAGGATTAAAAACCACAAGTTAAAATTAAAAATTTCTACAACACATCACTTATACCCAGAAGTACTTAAAATATAAACCGTGTCTTTCCTCTTTGACAGGACAACAGCTTGCTGGAGGCAGCCTGCATTCAAATTTCAACAGATCTTGTAATTTTAAGTCAATCAATCACTTACCCTGTGACTCCTGTACAGATGAGCATACATAACAACAGAACTTAACTGAGAACAGAGGTAAACACCTCAACTCCTGATGCTGTCAGTATCCATCGATTGGCCTTGTAAGGAGTCCTGAACCGTGTGCTCAGAAATGAAACCAGTTCTGATTGAACTTGGGACTGCTTGGACACTGAAGCAGGGAGCACAACTAAGAAACAGCTTCACTGCAGGGCAGGGGTGAGAGACTGGAATTGTGGAGAGGGTGCAGCGGGAATCCCTTGAGTGTTGGGATTTAGCGCTGAAAACTCAACAGAGATCATTTCTGATGAGGTTGTTTGTTCTCTGGAGATCAAAACAAACCCCCCAAACCCTAGTAACATACAAATATTTGGATTTGGGAGCTATTGACTTCGGTTTTTAGGGGAATGAGAAAAGGTATTTAAAGTTGCTCCCCCAACCCCCAGATCTCTTAAAAAGCAAGGTTCTTGGGATAAGAACAAACAGCTTCAGCAAGTATTTCACCTACAGTACTGGTGTCACTGCGCTCCTTAACATTTAAATGCTATTGGGGTGTGGTAGTTCAAGGAGTCAAAAGTCAAAAACTTGATTTTTGGATATTTCAAGTCATCCAGATTGGATTTAGGGGACAGTTTCTAGTGCGAACCTTTCTCCTGGAAGATCCAAAGAAGGGAAAAGTTCGCACTGCCAAACAAGTTATAGTTAGAGAGCAAGCCTGGGAATGCTTGAATAAACCATTGAGTTGTTTGCAAAAGTAAGTAAAAGAAACGCGAGCAACGGGGCGGAGCTGGAGGCCCTAGGATGGGACGTGACGGTTTTCATTTTGGCGGCAGAGTGAGATACCCCTACACAGGCAGACTTTCCCTCCTCTCAGTCGAGCATCCTACCTTCTCGGGCGGTGCTTCGACACCCGTGGGGTTCCAGAGGCCCAACCTGGAGAGGAAGACACATTTTCAGGATTAGGTGCTGTCCGAGGCGCGGGCTGGGACCCGCCACACCCGGGGAAGTTACTCACAGTCACCACGGTGCTGCTTACCTTCTGGCCGCCCTGCCAAGGAGTTTCCGCGAAGGGCAGACCAGCAGGAAGGCCAGCCCCGCTCCGCACTTGCAGTGGGTTCCGCGCAGCGAGCCTGGGACGCCGCGTCGCCATGGAGACAGGACGGGCTGCGGCAGGAGGCCCGGGAACCACGGGAGCTGCCCAGCGACTGGACCGCTCGACGCAGCGGCGGGGCGAGCGGGGCGGAGCGCGGTGGGCCGGCGGCGGGGCGCAGAGCGCGGGGCGGGGGCGGGGCGGGAGCCGTTCCAGCTCCTGGAACCGCGCGAAGGGCGGGGCGGGCGGCGCGGCTGGCCCAGCGCCCGGAGGAACTGGGGGTCACGCTGCGGGGCAAGTTGGGGGCGCACACTCTGGGGCAGGCTTGACCACGTACCCTGGTTACTTTGAGAAAGGCCGGAGACAGGGAGACTGGAAGGTCGGTGTCCATACCTGATCCTGACTCTAGGTGGCGGAGGGAAAGGGGCGAGATGGCCTCATTTGGGGGTTACAACTTGTGGAAGAAAAGATGCCTTGAGTTGAGGGGGATGGGTGCCTCTGGATATGAATGAACAAAAATCCCCTGCACCTGGGATCGCCCCGAGAAGATTATGGGTTTCCTGGGGATCTCGCCATCAGTTCTCCTAGGGATCCGGTTCAGGTGTTTAGAACCAGACTCGCCTTTCCCACCCAGCCCGGGCCAAATCTGGGTTCCCTTTGGCGCCCGGGCTGCTACTGAAGCACCTCAGCCAGTTGGAGGTCTTATGCTTCACTGCTTCGGTCACAAAAGAGGGTGGGAAGACACCCTGTTAGAAAATTTCAATGATCTCCCAAGCTTATCTTCTAGGGGAAAAATGGGTAACCTCTCTCCTTGGACACAGAGAACTTGTTGCTAGGCAACGAGTTTTGAAGGGGGACACGTTTGTTAGAATCAAACCTGGATTCGAATTTCACATAGTGGCCTGAATATGAGAGATATAATCACTACCTTAAGGGCCCTCTGGGGACATGCATTTTACCTGATGGCGAAAATACGTACGTTTTAATGTATAGAAACTGATTCAATTATGACACTAAAATAGAACCAGCCAAATAATTCCGAACCAAGAGTACAGAAAGTTTCCATTATTTTTAAATTCTCTGGTTCATCTGTCCAGGCACTCGTTAAATCTCTTTGAGTCATGGATGATAGGAAAACATCAAGGGGGGGGGGGACTAGAATTCAAGTTCAAGGAACTCCATCTCCCATCTCCACGATTTTTAATGGGTAATTTTTTTTATTACAGATCTGAATGTTAGCAGAGCATGATACAAAAACGTGTTTAAATAACATTTAGTGTTTTCTGAGTATAAAACTAACGTAGACATTGGAATGTAGGTGACTGGGGAAGTACTTGCCCAGCGCACTGCAGCCCTGAGCTTAATGCTGAGCACCGAAAACAAAACAAACAAGCTCTCTCGAAAACAAAAACCCAGGGTTACCAATACACTCTCATGATGGACAATTTACAACACACTGAACCCCACAACCATCAAAAACGTAAACTACCCAGGATTCTACTGCCCAGTAGTAACCTTGGTCATTATTATTATTATTATCATCATTATCATCATCATTATTATTATTTTGCTTCTAGCCCTCTTTTGTGCACATATTAACTTTTACTTTGGGGCACATGTTACTGACGTTTGCATTTGATGGCCTCTGTTGTTGGTACTTTTTGTTGTTTGTTTGTTTAACATATTCTTTTGAATGTTTCCCAGTGTCTTTAGTCTTCAAAATATTTTAATAACAAATATATGATGTATATTACAACTGAGTTAATTTGCTCAGAAAGTCCATGATTTGGAAATGTCTAACTCTCCTGCTAATTCATTGTTTCTGAACATCTTTGTTGGGAGCTGAGAATGAGGCTGTGTTCTGAGCACAAGATGCAAGAGCTGAACAGTAACTGTAAGAAATAAGGTTCTGGGCCGTGTTGGTGCACTCCTTTAGACCCAGCAGAGGCAGGCAGATCTCTGTGAGTTCAAGGGCAGCCTGATCTACATAGTGAATTCCAGGACAGCAAGGGCTATGCAGAGAAACCCTATCTCAAAACACATCCTTGTCTCAGGAGAAAAAAAAAAAAAAGGAAGAAAGAACGATTTTGACAACCATCTTTGTAAATAAATCTTTGATGACATCTTTCATTCTCAGACCAGATTCCTAGGTCTATGAAAACATAACTTCAAAAAGGCATTCTTTGAGCTTCAAAGGCCGTCTTAAAGTAAAATTCCAAACTGTAAAATATTAACTTTTTGGAAGAGTACCAACAACGGACTTAATATTTATTTTGTGCAAAGTGTGAACCAGCAGAAGATGCTTTCTTGCTAGTTGCTGGGAAACACCGGAGGGGGTTTGAAGTGTATTGACTTTGGCTTTTTGCTCTAATTCTTTCCAGGATTTGCTGGTTTGCTCAATAGTTGTGAGATTGTTTGAAGTCTATGCAAATTACCCCACTTCCTCTTCTCACAGCTAAAGTGCTAAGGATGCTGTTGAATTTCCAGCTTCTCTCCTGTAAACACAGGGCTGCTGAGCTGCCTTCACTTACCTTCTCCGTGAGACACTTTGTATGTTTACCCTAACCTGAGGCATACTTCTCAACAAAATCATCATTACACACTCCTGTAAGGCACTTCACTTAACACATTCCGTGGTTAGTTTTAGTTAAGAAACTTGTAAATTGATTATTGCAGTAGAGAGTTTCATTATAGAGAGTTTTTACTGACAATAACCATCATTGACAACACACCTCTATATACCTGTGACTCAAACAACACTGTGCTGTCTTTGACAATTTAAGAAATTAAGTCAATCACATGCACTTGTCATTTGTGGATAAGAATTGGTTAAATAGTGGCAATTGAATATAGTTCTACCTATACAGGTATGTTGCAAATCAGTTTATATTTTCACGTTTCTCCAAATGTTAAACTTCCAGCTTCTCCTACTAAGGATATCCTCTGTTACTGCAGAAGCTTGTTTGCCTTGGCTTTCATATATGGTTGAGTCTAGTCAGGAGGATGCCCGTGAAATGTTTATTTATTATTTTGGAGTCAGTAGAGGGAGCCTGGAGCCAAAAGATTATTATTGCAGACATACAAACTGTGATTGTCTTCCAGTTCTTGATGTGCGGATGAGTTTAAACACTGGTGCATATGTAAAACAGCAGTGATTTTAAAGTCAATTTGCTTATATAATCTCTTCTTAAAAGAACAGAAATGACTGGCTGCTAGTGGGAGGTGGGCATCTTAACCTCCTCAGTGAGACCATCCAGAATTCCATTGTTCCTGACACTCTTCAGTGATCCCAGTGCTAACATCCCACTGGGGTTGATTGTGTGCAGCCCTTTCTCCTTTTTTCAGAGCACAATGGGGGTTACCTTCCATTTCTGTGGGCAAACTGTCAAGAGTCTCAGCTTTGTCAGAGCTTTAAAATAAGTCACCACTTTTGATTCAGTGACTTCATGTTGGTGTCTCAGCTACACTACTCTGCAGTATAGCTGATTGTTCCCCCAGACATGCAGGGAAGCTCTGTCATCCCACAAAATTCAAGGAAGACACCTAATACATTACCACACCTTTCACAGACTAGGGATTTTCTTTAATGTTGAAGATGCCTCCTGACACACAGCTTGATGGATATCACTTGTGTGCATTTGTTCTTTGCTAAAGACTCTACTCAGTCCAAGGCAGCAGCTCCTTCTCACATGTGACATGTCTGTATGTCACACACAAAGGGAAGACAGTCCCTCTGTGCTACTTCATAGTTCTATTTTTTAAAGTTACATTTCTTTTTTTTTTCGAGACAGGGTTTCTCTGTGTAGCCCTGGCTGTCCCAGAACTCACTCTATAGACCAGGCTGGCCTGGAACTCAGAAATCCTCCTGCCTCTGCCTCCCAAGTGCTGGGATTAAAGGCGTGCATCACCACCGTCCGGCACATTTCTTGACTTACTACGTGTGTGCCTACATGTGTGGGTGTGAGTGTGCTATGGTGCTATGTGGAGACTGTACTGTAATCAGTTATTTGCTTCCATCATGCCTTTTCCAGGGATTGAACTCAGGTCATTGAGCTTGGCAGCAAGCATCTTGAGCAGTCTTTCTGGCTTCTTAGTTTGTATTTGTTTAGTAGTGCCCTAGGCTGGGCAGTGGTGGCACACGCCTTTAATCCCAGCACTCAGGAGGCAGAGGCAGTCGGATCTCTGAGTTCGAGACCAGCCTGGTCTACGAATGAGTTCCAGGACAGCCAGGGCTACACAGAGAAACTTTGTCTTGAAGGGGGGAAAGCAGTTCCCTAGAGCTATGACAAATAGCAGCAACTCTCCTGTACCTTTTATGGCATCTTGTTGTCTGAACAGCACTTTCTCAGCTCTTTCCCTGAGGAGACTCACAGCTTGCACGTTTTTCAGCTCTATCAGACTTCTAACCCATCGATGTGGTTACCCTACCTTTGAGGATCCCCATCTTATCGAGGCCCCCATAGTTTATCTTATTTCTTACCTGTCACATGCCATCACCCACCCCCAGCCCCGCTCTTCATCTCCTTTACCTGTCTGTGTCCGGTAAGAAACTCATCAGGAGTTATGATAAGCCTTCCCCAAGAGTGTGAGTCAGGAGCTGCAGACTGTGTCAGGCTGGGTTACAGGACACTGTAGCAGTGGCCACATTTCTGTTCTGGTCCAGCTTCTCCCCATGGTCCGTACCCACTCCACACTATTCCTGCTCAGCTGCTCAGCTGCATTCACTCCTGCCCTAGTGTTTCAGTCCAAAGGATACGTCTTTCAAGAAGAAAATCGATTCCTGTAACTGGCACCCGAGCCTCCACATCTGTATGGATTCTTAACCGCACCCCCCACCTGACACTATGCCAGTAGTCACAGTGCGCATGTTCAGTATCCACAGTGTGCATGCTCTTTTCTCACTGTGCAGCGAGGTGACCATCTCCAATCACAGACGTGGCCCTAGGGTTAAAGGCCTCCTGGGATAGTCAAAACACTTCATCAAGACAACCTGAGCATTCATACTTTCTGTTTCTAAGTATACTCTTATAAGTATTCTCTTAAAGTGACACCATTTCACCGTGAGACGTTCTCAGTCCTCATGCATGGTAGAATGGAAAGACAAGAGATATGACATTTTTGGTTGAGAGATCTAGTTTCTTCCATCTTTAATTTTTTTAAAGAACAACATTTTTCTTGGAGAGTCCAGGAGAACAAAGAAAAGATTGAGGAATATCAGTGAGTACTGATGGGCAATATAGTGAATATTGATGATAAAAGAGGCTTTGTGGATGTATTTAAAACAGCAGGTGATTTTAGCTGTTCTCAGGACTCATCCTTAAAGCTATGTCTGTAGCTAGAACGAAACAAATGCTGGACAGAAAGTCGGTGTAAGTTAATGGCACTTAGTAA